GCAAGACTGAGAGACATAGCAGATCTACCTAATACATAAAAACAAACACAGAGAGGCAGCAAAAATGAGAAGAAGAAAAAAATACATCTCAAATGAAAGAACAGGAGAAAGCTCCAGAAAAAGAACTAAATGAAATGGAGGCAAGCAACCTACCAGAGGCAGAGTTTAAAACACTGGTTATAAGGATGCTCAAGGAACTTAGGGAGAACTTCAACAAAGAGATAGCAAGCATAAAAATGGACAGAAACCATAAAAAAAAAAACCACAGTCAGAAGTGAAGACTATAATAACTGAAATGAAGAATGCACCAGAAGGAGTCACCAGCAGACTAGATGAAGCAGAGGATCGAAACAATGATTTGGAAGACAAGGTAAAGTACAGCATAGGGAATATAGTCAATAATAGTGTGATAATGTGGTACAGTGTCAGATGGTTGCTGGATTTACCATGGTGATCACTTCTTTAGGTCTATAAATGTTGAACAACTACGGTGTACACCTGAGACTAACATAATGTATGTTAGCTCTATTTTTTAATGAAAATCTTTTAAAAATAGAATTAAAATTTAAAAACATTTTTAAAAAATTACAAAATGCGTGAGGAAACAAGCCACCGTGAGTGAGAGTCGGCAGAAATCATGATTAGCAGCCCCTGGACTTCAGACAGTGTATACGGTGTCTCATAGTATACAGACTATAAATAAAAATAAAAATAAGGCACGCCACTTGAGTTTGGCCATATGTAGTGTGGGATGCAGCCACTGGTTGCATCCAAACTTATGAGAGCTTTGTTTTTGACACCCAGTCCTTTTCCTTCACAATAAACACTTGTCACCCCAGTGTTAGCTGAGTCATGGTCCCCAAATTCTGCAGCTGTGGGTTCTGGAGTCAGGCTGCAGAGCTCAAATTCAAGCTGTGGTGTTTATGAGGAGTATAACCTTAAGCAAGGTAGTTGACCTTCACATACTTGTGTTGCTTCTGCATCTGTGAAATGGGATAATAACATTATAGCATCTGCCTCTTACGTTCTCCTGAGGATTTCAGCGACAAAATCCAAGTCACCTGCAGGAGGCCGGGCACATGGGAGCATTTACTGAAATGACTGCTAAGTGGCTCAAGCGCATGCCACCTGCTGGTCACATTTCCTGCTTGGGCTGCCTGTTGGACTTATAGGCCCCTCCCCTCCTGAACCAGACCCTTCACTGCCGGCGGCGCTGATCTCCTGTGGGATCCGCTCCTCCCATCTCCCCAAAGCATTGTGCACACAGGATTTTGAGCAGGCTCTTATCCATGACGGGGCTAACAGATCAGACCTTTTTGCATACAGCACTGAAAATCACTCTCTACTAGGGCCATGCCCCCTGCCTCCCGGCCCAGGGGCTCCCAGCCCTCCCCTTCCCCCGTGCCCCCCCCATGGCCAGCCTTGAGCCCCAGCTTTTCACACCCAACGAGTCCATCAGGATGTTCTGCTGAGTTGAAAACCAGAACCCTGCTTCTAGCTTTTAAAATAACGCCATTCCCTTCCTGCTCTGTATTTACTGAGCACTCGGTGTCAGAGGACCTGTGGGGAGGCTGGGGACACAGAGACCAGTGGGCAGGTGCCGGCTTGCCCATCGTGGCCGAGTTAGCCTGCCCCTGGGTTCCAGTCTCAGCCTTGGCACGCGTTTCTCTGGTTACATCTGACTGACACGCCGCGAGATGCCACACGCAGTATCCCAGTGGACTCAGGGCGCGGACCCACCGCCCATGCACAGCACGTCAACACAAAAAGCGCACGCACACACTCACTCCATGCTAATTCTCGCATTTGAGCGCTGCCTCTCGTCTGTCAGCCCCACTCAGTGTTGACAAAGCAAAATAAAAAATAAAAAGGAAGAAAGAAATCCACCCTGTCACTTGGACTCCCCCTACCTCTCGCTGGGCTTGGCAGCACCCCCCCCACCCCGTCTTTGTATTATGGGTTTATGTCAAGGTATGTTGGATTCTAAATTAAATGTCAGCCCACTGTACATTTCTGGCTCCAGCCGCAGAAAACGAGGAGCTGGTGTTGGAGACCATCCAGTTGTTCAGCTCCCCATGCCTAACAGTGAGGGGTGACAAGCCCATTGAATCACTGCACAGTCGCTTTCCATGCCATGGAAAGCCAAGACAAATTTATTTTTAATGATAAATGTGACTGTCAGAGTTAAGTTGAAACAGCTTTACAGAGAGAGCTGAGTGCCCTCAGCTGTGCAGGGCAGAGGGTGAATGGGCAAGGGCCAGAGGTCCTGACCTCCTGGCCACCCAGTCCCCCAGGCCGCACGAGACAAGCACATTCGACATTCAGCCCACATTCGCAGAGCCCCCGCTGCCCGCCAGCTCCGCAGCGCTCACTGAATGTTTCAGTCAGGCTCTAGCCAGCCAAGAGAACAGAGGCAAGTGAGAAAGACAGATGGGCTCCAGTGGTGCAGAGACCTGTGTTTAATCTGACCCCATCAGTTGCTGTGTGACCTTGACCAAGTTACTTAACTTCTCTGAGCTCATCTATAAAATGAGGATATTAATAACACCCATAGGTTTTTGGCGAGGATTACATGAAATAGATATATTGTTAATGACAGCACCCAGCACATGGAAAATGCTTACAGAATGGAAGCTATTAATTATATCATTTTACTAATAGCGCTATCACCCAAGTTACATAACTTACCTTTCTGAGTCAGTTTCTCATCCATAAAATGGGGAGAACAATCACTCCCACTTCCTAGGGTGGCTGGGAGAATGTAGAGAGCCTAGCACAGAGCTGAAGGTAGGGGTGATGCGCAACAGATCGCAGCCAAGGGGCAGGCACCTTGACCATTGTCACTCACCATTGCTGGCCACTTTTTCTCATCTCCTTCATTGGCTCTCTTCCTCTCCATCACTCCAATGCTGGCATGCCTCGCCGCCTGCCCTGTACTCACTCTCTGCTAAGGGAGGTACCTGCATTAGGGCCCCCACAACCACGCCCTCCATCAGACTATGATGGGCACCTGTCCAAGGGCAGCTGATGACCTATGATTGATATGTCCTGGCTCCAAAGGATCAGCAGGATGGGTCCCAACCCTTCTCCCTGGGATGTAAACTAAAAATGTTGGTGGGGCCATCACGTCTAGGTGGCCATAGGCAGGAAAAGTAGGAACACGCAGAATCGGTGAGCCAGAGGAAGGCAGCTGAGAGGATGTGCAGGAGTGGGCAGGGGTGCCGGGGCAACCTCAGGTTTAATGCCACGCAGCCTGGGGATCCTGGGTTCCGGTTTCCCTGAAGCCCTCGCTGGTCCCTGAATGCCATGTCTTGGCTGGCTGGAAAGCCCTGATTCTGCCCAGCCAGATGAGCACACCTGGGCTCTTCCCTGGGGCTCTGGGACAGCAGCTTTGTCAAAAGGAAATCAGAAAGTGGGACACTGTCTCCTCTATGGAGTCAGCGGAGCTTCTCACACATAGATCTCAGGGCCAATGAACAGAGGGCGCCCGCCCTCTCCTCTTCCCAGACAATGTCCCAAGTGCGCCAGGCACCAAATACCTGTGGGCTCATGCCAGAGCTTCACCAGAGCTGACTCTTCTTCTGGGGTGCTGATCAGGGGGGCGATGGATGAAGACTGCCTCCGACACATGTGCTCACTGCACCCCCAAAGCAGGAAAGTGAGAACCCCAGGCTGAATAGGTGAGACAACCCGTCAGCAAACAGTGCCAGGAGGAGCCACTAGGTGGCCCCCGCTTACCTGTCCAAACGCCCTTCTGCAGGCCTGGGGGCCGGTCCTCTGCTTGGCACTTGCCCATGCAGGCTATTGTCACTCTGCATTCTCCACCTTTGCTTTGTGGCTTCACCGCCTGCAATGCCTTCTTCCCCAGTATCCAGATGCCCCCACCTTTGTGGCCTGGCTCCTATCCCTCCTTCTCCAGGATGCCTTCCCTGACCACCCTGAGCACATCCCCAGAAACTCCACTTGCGCTTAGCAACCCCCCTCCCTGCACTCAGAATTTCAGTTCAGTCCCCCACCCCACACTGGTCTTTCGTCTGTGCATAGACACGGCTGGAGTTTACATCCTTTCCTCAAATCGGAATCACAGACTTGAAATCCCAGCCACATTCCTGCAGACCTCACAATTCCCCATCAGGAACGGGGAGGGGGCAATTTCTTGTTCAATGAGGAAACTAGGGCTGGAGAAGGTCATAGCAAGCAAGTTTGAAACCTGCTCAGGTGCTCCAAAACACTGTCTCAGAAATTCACAAGAGCCCTTCTGAAGAGGGGTGTGTTAACCCTTTGGTACACATCGGGAAACAGGCTCAGAGAGGCACAGTAGCTTGCCCCAGGCCACACAGCCAGGTCCTGTTTTCAGCACACTTCTCTCACCAAGCCTGATGGCCCTCCAGGTCACTTTCCAATCCCTTTAATCCACAGAAAAGGGACCCAGGGGGAGGGTGCCACAGGGCCAGGGCTCCAGATGGGTCCCCTGACTCCCAGCCAGGGCTATGGGATTCTCTCAAGGGCCGTGGGCAGCCCCCCTGTGTGTGGTGCAGTGGGGCTGCAGGCGAGGCAGCACAGCGGCCCTGGAAGGAAGGGGAGGCTGCGTGCGGACAAACCGCTGGCGGATTGCGAACCCAGCTTCTAGTGGGTGAGTGACAGTCTACTCAGCTGACTTGGGGTGTCGAGTCCCCGGGCCCCAGCTTTCTGGGCCCAGGGCGCAGCCCCCACCCCCTGGTAGCCTGCTCTGCCGGTGCAGGACGCGGAGAGGGGCGGGCAGAGGGACGAAGATGGGACGACAGACTGGCAGCCAGTGGGGGAGAGACGAAGACACTGCCAGGGAACAGCGTGGCGGGCCAAGGCGCCCTGGGAGCCGGAAAACAGCTTTGGGGAGAAGTCGGGGGGGGGGGCGAGGAACGGGGGTGTCTATTCTGCAGCTGGGGAAGCAGAAGATAAGGAGCCGCAGACAGGGGCGGGGGCGGGGCAGCCCGCCTGGCTCCCGCGGCGGCCGGGGAAGGGGGCGGCCGGCCAGGAGCGCGGCGTCGGGCCGTGTGGGCGCCTCCCGGTCAGAAGCCACAATAGCAGCTCGTTAACGAGGCAGATTAAGGACTTTGTCAATTACCTCCGAAGGCTGCTCCGGGAGGATCCAGGGATTTTTAAAGTGCTGCTGGTGGGAGGGGGCGACTAAGAAGCCCCCTCCCGGCGCAAATCCCTCCTCTGCGGGGCGGTGGAGAGGCGGGGGCTGCGACGGCGCGGGGCGCGCCTGAGGAACGCGGGCGATCGGCCGGGAGCGCGGGCAGAGCGCTGAGCGGCTCGTACTCGTGACTGCGCGGGCGGCTGTCGCGGCGACAGGGACCCCCCCCCATTCAGTCGGGGGGCCGCCCGGGCAAGGGAGGCGTCGGGCCGTTTCTCTGGCCGAGGCGCCCACAGGGACGACCTCGCGGGGCGGGGACCGGAGGGGGGGGGTCCCCGGTGGCAGGAGACTCGGGACCCAGCGCACGTGCCCCAGGGCCCGGACCTCGGAGACCCGCAGGGGGCGCACGCCGGCGGACCGACACCCCACTTCCGCCTGCCCAGCGGGGTCTCGTCCTGCACCCTTGAGGAACCGGGAGGAGAGCGGCTCCGCTCCCGGGAGACGCCCGACGGCCCGGCGGGGGCGCCCACGAGGCCCGCCCGGCGCCGCGCACCCGCGCACGGTGAGTTGGCCGGAGTCCGGCCCGGGAGGAAGTTTGTGAGGAGGCGCTGGCGGGGGTTCTTAGGCCCCCCCAGAAGCGGGCGAGGGCCGGGCTGCCTGCGGCGTTTGCTTCCTTCCCGCCGGCCCCCGGGGGCCTGGGACCCGCTCTGCCGCCCGTATCTTGGCCTTTAGCGCGTGGAGCGTAACCGTCGCATCCCGCGGTGTGTGTGTGTGTGTGTGTGTGTGTGT